CTTACATAAATTTCTTATGTTAAATTTGCCGGTCATGTCAAGCTAAAATATTTCTCACACATTTGGAATGCTTTTTGCAAGCTTAGTTCATTAACAACATGTGTGAAAATGTTCACAGAGATTTTTTTTAAACATGTTAAGTGGCCCATGTGAAGTCTGGGGATAGTATTTCAAGATGATTGATCTTAGTGATTTAGGGCATCGGGGTCATACTAAGGACAAGTCTCAACTGTGCTTTGTTATTGAAGCAGCAAGCCACCATTTCCTTCTAGCACCCTACAACATGCAGCAAAAATAATGCGGAACAATTGTAGAAGCTGTTACTAAACAGCTCAATATGTAAACAATGTCTGAATGCACTTGAAATGGCACAATAGCTGGGGCTGACAAACACACACAGGTGTCTTGGATATTATAAGTCCATCAGCAAGAAATATGATAAAGTAGAAGTGCTCTATTATTTCTGCATTCCTCGTATGGATGGATTGTGTGTTGCCACATTTATACACATTATAAAAATGCCACATAGATGTGACCAAGGCCACCTCTTATTTCAACATCCTTACGCATTTTTCACCTCTGAAGCATGCAAAAGCAGCTTGGTGGCCATCCAGTTAGCACTCTTGTCCTGAAGCTTCAGGTTTGGATTCTACCCCAAATACTACTTGCATGGAGTTTATACAGTATGTCTGAGTAGGTTTCCTCCAGGCGCTCTAGTGTCCTTCCATGGTCCACTAACTAAACTAGCCTTTCTCAGCCATGGCCAGCCTTAACACCTATGCTGGGGAAAGAGGAGAGTTGTGTGCAGAGCTAGCAACTTGGCCCCATCAATAGCAACATGCATAAGAAACTGATGCCAGATCTACCCTGAAGCACAAGATAGATCTCAGCAGTTGTAGCAAGCACTAAACATTGGGGAACTTCTTATTTAATTATATAAATTATAATATAAATGATAGTATGAAAGGGAATAGCAGCCAATAAACCATATACAATATTTGTACCTTACCACTCATGTTATCTCAGTTAAAGTGACAACAAAACCAGAAGTTAAAGGAGAACTATGAGGTGAGTGCTTTTCACTCACCTCATAGTTCTAGCCGACCTGTGACAATGAGACTGTCACAGCTCGGCTCAGTAGATCGGGAAGTGAGCGAACACATACCGGCGTTCGCTCCCTTCTCGATCCTGTCACAGCTCTCTGCAGGGATTCCCCCGCTCCACGCTCCGATCCTCCAGCGCTGACTGGCGGAACGGACAGGGGAGGGTACAGCTGGCTCTGCCTCTAGATAGGCAGAGCCAGCTGTCACTCACGCAGCTGGGCGGATCCAGACATTATTGTCGGTATCCGCTTCAGCGTCTCAGTATACCGCGAGCTGTAGCTCGCGGTATACTGAGCTTACGGTGACGGGAGCCACCGCTCCAAGCTTGCTCCCTTAATGGACTACAATCTCATGTTTAGTTTACTAATTTGTATTGAAATGATAGTCATGGGAGCGAGTTTGGTGCTGAATTGTTGCCTATCATAAGGAGGACAAATAAGCTTGGAGTGGTGACTACTTTACAACACACACAGGGACCATGAAGAACAAAAGTAGCCCCCCTCCAGAAGGAAGGACAATGCTAGCATCAATTCAGAGATGATTTGAGAATCTCCAGCCAAGTGATACACAAATAAGATACATGTTTGTTAATAGTTGAGGTACTTGAATGTATTTTTAGGATTTAGCTCTTGAGTTTACTGTTCCTTAAACTGTGTGTTACGGCAGTGCACAGTGTCAATTTAAACTCAATCCACACAGAGGCACATATTGTTGCTTCCTGGACTGACTATGGATGCACTGGATTTCATAAAACTCAGATTAAGGGAAATTAAATATAGACTTTCTGAATTAAAGTGAACCTGTAGCTATGCAAGTGGGCAGAAAAAATACCACTAGCTTGTGCCCAGAGTGCCACACAAATTGCCTATGCAACACTGATTTTCCCAGAGGTATTTACATAAGTATAGGCACAACCCCACACATGTGACTATGTTCTGGTGAGGTTGCTCAGGCACCTAGCATTGCAGGATGGTGAGGTGTCTAAGTCCCACAATCAGAAAATGATTGCTAGCTGTGAACACATGGTGAGATGGAGACTAAAACTAGCCTGATGTGCAGCCACCATATGGTATAGTAATTGTTGAAATCCAGACTTAATTCAGCTGTCTACCGTGGAACTGCAAATTTAAATAAAGAGGGGGGGGGGGGGGTAAAAGAGCTGATTTTTTCTTCATTAAACAGCCAGAAGAATGAATGTGAAACAATCTAAATAGTATATTTTGAAAATGCTGAATCTCTTTAATATGCATTTTTAATTTGGGATGTCTGAATTATTCTTATTTTCTCATTTTATATTATTTGTTCTTTCTTTGGGAGTTGACAGGTTATTAAACTAGTCTGCCTGGCCCCTCCAAGTTCCCTGAAATTGAACATTTAGGACATGATGCTGATTGGCTGTAGGCATGGAGCCAAATGTTCATTTGGTAAAATCAGTTTAGGCAAGGAGAGGTGTTCCCGTTTTTAAGGTAAAATTTAATTTTTGGCTTATAAAAAATGTAAGTGTGCTGAAGGTGCAGCATGATAATTAAGCATGCACAGCATGCTAATTAAATTATGACATCATGAGATAGGACAGTATTTCAGCAGACAGAGATAAATTACTGGCGTACTTTACTCGTGTCTGTAATTCTAAAAAAAAGGCTGTGTGGTTTCAATTTGAGGTTGTACAAAAGGCTTATTTAGCCTAACTTGGCAGCCAAGATAAAAAATATACTGCACAGCAAAATGTAAATGTCAAACATACTAGTATTTGTATAGGTTTGGGTCATTTTATTGTACTTTTCTTTTACATAAACTCTTACAATTCATATCTGTGAGTTTTATAAGTAGTTATTTTACCCTAGGTAACTTTTATTTTTTTTGGTGGTCTTTAGGCCAGGCGATTGTAACCTTTTTTTAAGCTGAACTCGAGGCAAACAGCTAAAATGCACAAATGAAGTAGATATAGTGAACTGTTTTACTTGTACGGGATTTGTATTTTTGTCCATCCATTCATAAGATATGCAAAGCCCTTTCACACAGCATAGCCAGGTGGATGATACCACAATGTACTCCTGTAACCCAAAAGAGAACTTTATCCAAAAAAAAGGTTTGGCTATAGTTCTCTTTTAAAATATAGACTGTTAACATCTGTTCCTATAAGAAAAAAAAAGCCATTGAACCCATCAGAGGAACCCCTTATGGTACAGTAACCCTGGTTGAGACCGTGTTTTAGGAGCATTGCATCTGGACAGAAGAGGTTTATGTTTACAGATGTATGTTTCCATGTCAACGCACATCTAAAACGATGTCTAAAGTGACTAGGTAGTGTCATTGCTGCATATAGCATATCACTTTTCTAGTGTAATTCTTCTCAGGACAGTAAAAGGCATGTTCCAATGGTTGCTTTCACTGCATTAAAAGTGCACGGGACAGAATCATGAATAAATTGTTAAACATACCTTATGAAAGCTGATTTCAGTCTATAACAGCTGTCTAAAAAAGCTGAAAACAAGACTTTCACAAAAGCAGAAAGATAAATCCTAGGTGACCTGAGACACTCTACAGTCACTGTACATTACTATATATTACATATACTGTGAGGGATTAAACCAATCCAGATTAGAAAAATGCAATTGTGTAATGACAATACATAAAATCATATTCATAAGAGGGAGAGAAATATTTCAGCTTTGCCGTGCTGAAATACAGCACCCCTCATAGAGTTTTGTATTAGGCAAAGATGTAAACATGTCTATACTGGTATATGAGGATATTTTCTACATCACCCAAAATATAAGCTCCTTGTGCACAATCCAATATGAATTGTAAGACTGTCTATCCAGGCAGCATTGATGTAGCCTGATGTACATTTCTTCGGTACATATAGACTGTAATAGGTGACCTATACCAATATTTAAATACAGACCCTATTTCAAAATTCAGCACAAATGAAATATGAAAACTACCTTCCCAGTCTGTGGACCACCTCAGTGGAGTTGCCGGGGAGTGTGTGAGCAAATATGTGGACTGCAGTACTTGTCACATACTCCCCACCACCTCCGCTGTCCCATAATCACCTGTTTCTACTTTAGCTGTCCATTTCCTGGACACTGATTTTGTTCTCTTTTCCTCCTTTGTAAAACCCCCGTGTGAAGAACTTGGCTCTTATGCTGCTACTTTATAATTAGTTTTGTGAATGAGTGGTTAAATTCATAATGGGGACTACTTCCCCTCTCCTGGCATCTATCTGTATAGCTATGACCATATACAGGTATTTTAATGATTTTGTTGCTTATCATGGAAAGTTCAGTAACCATTTGAGTCCAAAGACAAACTGTTCTACTGGTTGTAATACCCTACCACTTCTCTCCTTCACAAATTTACCCTGTTCGGCAGTCAGGAACTTCAGTCTTCGCATTCTTTGCAGAGAAATGACTATCGCTGGTATTTGACATTTCTGCGTGTGACTAATGCCAAGTTTCCTCTTGCATGCTGTGGGTGTTATTGGTGTCCAGTAGTAATTGCATAGTGGTGGACGAGTGGAACCGGTGCAGTAGGGGATGCAGCATCAAAATTGTGCACCTTTTTGCCAACCTCACCCTGATCTAAAGTAAGCCACCCTCCCCAAGTGCATACTTACCTCCTTTCCATGGCCACATTCTCCCTTAATGTTAGTGTATTCTACCAATATCATAAACCCCAAGGACTTAATCCCAGGTGGCTTCACCATTTGAATTAAAAACTTGTGGTTTCCAGTTGAACAGTTTTTAATGTTTACAATGCAAATAAATATATAAAACAATATTAACTTACAAGATATACTTTCTTTGAAACTGTTTAGGTCCAGGTGTAAGTAAAGTATTACATTTTTAATTTGTTAGGAAATACAGTCTAATTCTTAGTCTTTACTTACAGGTCGCAAGTTTCTGATTGCCAATGCCCAGATGGACAACTGTGCTATCATCTACTGTAACGATGGGTTCTGTGATATGTTTGGCTATTCCCGGGTGGAAGTCATGCAGAGACCTTGTACCTGTGATTTCCTGACAGGCCCTGAAACCACGCACAACAGCATTGTGCAGCTCACGCAAGCGCTGCTAGGATCTGAAGAGCGCAAGCTGGAGATTCTCTACTACAGGAAGGAGGGTAAGATGCCTATATTCTAAATGTTTTCAACATAAATGCTGCATCTTGTTTTTCATTTCCTTTTAATATGCACTCTATATAACTTCCTTAATGATCCACTTTTAGGTGTAGAAATGTGTATGAATAACTGTACTATTTACCTACTAACTTTATTTCTATCAAACCAAACTTTCATCTATCCTTCAGAATATCCCATTGGTTATTTTTAAATGCTATTATAAAGCTGAAATAGAACTGGAAAGGTGATCAATCATGGGCTTTACATTATCATGTTCTACGTGATCAAGGAGTATGGAAAAGGTGTGTTCATTGTTTAAATATTTAGTGCTTAAAGGAGTCTTTCTTCTTCTCAGAAGGTTGGAAGGGATGACAGCACATTAGGCACATTGTATTTCTAATTCTTAGCTGTCAGAATCTGAAGAAGAAAGCTGACATTTTTACTTCTAGGATGCATGCTAGGACTTCAGGTATTTTGCTTTGTGACAGAATCCTGTCAAAAACATGAATACTGAATGTAATGTATACATGGAATCAGCATGGTGCAAGGGATACAAATCCCACTGACACTCACACGTACTTGATAAAACCAGTGACCTATTTCATGCCCTGCTAATATGAACACAGGTATTGCATGTTGTATTATTGTTCATAAAATGTATTTCCCTATCAGTCACAGCACTGTGGTACTGCTAGCTTATCCCTGGGGGATGCAAGCAATGGCTGGATGCTTTTTCTGGTATCGTCATATAAGAACATCAGAAAGAACATTATAGCAATGGGGATGGCCTGTTAATGCAGCCCAAGGGAATCTTCTGTGTGTGCCTGGATATGGGATATATATTAATGCAGAAGCAGAAAGCCCCACAGGAGATATGCTTACTATTTAGGGCAGTCAAAGAAAAAGTCACATTAATTGTTCCTGCTAAATTAGGAACAAGTATAAAAGAAGGGGGAGCAAAGACAGAAAAGAAGGATGTTGCTTTTACATAGCAGTGTTGAATGTCATCTTCCCAGAGGTAACAGAATTTCTTCTTGTGATTTTTACTGGCCATGAAAATAAACTAAAGTATTATCCCATACTGCGCCCTAGTAGATTTTCTCTGGCAATGTAAGACGTGTTACTCCTATGTGTCTGCACCCTCTTCACATTTATCTTCATGATAACATGTGATATTTTAAGGCTGTAGCATGTCATGCCAAGGTCGTGTCTGCTTTTAACACAACTCCCGGGAGGCAAGGATTTCAGAATGCAATAGAGGACTGGCTATAATGGCTGGTAATGCAGTGTGCACATCTCTGCAAGGTGTGAAGCTCCTGGCTGATAATGGTGATGAGTGGATTTATAGGTAATCTTACAAGGAAATTCATGTTTTAGTCATCGCTATGGATGAACCATGTAGTGTATTTTGTGCATGTCTATAAAGCTATAGATCATTGTTTAGGCTTAAAAGGTAATACAAAATTCAGTGAACTTTATCCCTGATAGAATGAACCTTTGTAAATTACAATTTCCTTAAGAAAAACCTAAAATGACTGCCAATGCTAACCACTGGTCTTTTGGTCTCTGGCTATCAGGCTGTCAAACTTGCTTTAAGACTTCCTGAAATACCGACTCGGGAAAGCATGCAGATCAGAAAAGTCAGGAAGAAGTTTGAAGTCCTTGTCTACATCTTTGTTCTCAGTCAGGGACCCAGAGGTATTGGCACCAGAGGGTCAGCATAATAGCCAGACACCTTACATTTTTAAAAGTGGAGGTCAACTATAACAGCCTGCAGATTTGCCTCAAGACAATTGTCCTTTTAAAATCAATTACAGAAAAAATAAATTTAACATAAAATTCCATTCTATTTGTAATTACCTGTATTATTGCTTTATATTGTACTAGAGCGTATAAGGCTGAAGTGATTTACTCCTTCAGTCTCCTCCTGTCTTCTTCTAGGAATGACTTAAAGTGATTGAACGTTCAAGGTAAAGCAACAGGTTACATTTAATGCCAGCCCTACCTGCTGCACATACTTGCCCAATTTTCACTCCCCCATCATTCAATTGGCAGGGGGAATGAGGAGAGGAAGCCCTGTGTAGGCTCCATGTCAGAACTTGGCACCTACACAGGCTGAAGATACTCTTTGTGCTCCCATGCAACAACACTGGGTGGCCAACCATCAATTATCTGTGCTCCCACATGGGAAGATGGGGACTGAGTCATGCCCTCCAACTAAACAGGAAGTACTTGGTATTTTTCTTCACTTCTGGGAGATGAATGTGGCAAGTCTTCTCACAAAAAATACACACATGCACACAGGTGACAGTCTGATTAAAGGTTGCTCAGGCTTGAACACTGCGTTGAGGGATAAGGAAAGGGGTGTCCTGCAGTTGCCAGTATCTGCCTTACGCTGCCTGTTATGCAGCAATGTGTCCATCTAAATAGATTTCTTAATGATACAGGTTTAAATCAAAACCTTACCTAGATGGCATTTAGTTTGCTAAAGCACTGTGTAAAAATGTTTTTTTTTCTTAAATGTTCTTTTCCTCATTTGTTGCATCACAGTGCTGCTGATCTCCTCCAGTCTTTTTTAGCCACTTTCTGTCTACATGTACTCCTTTATCGGCTGCAAATCATGACAGGCTTCCTGAGATTGAGAATGGTGGACAATGCATTTATGATGTGTATTCCGGCATAGCTGCTTGTAGACTCTAGATGGGTGCATGTGATGGGGTAACAATACAACAGCACAATTGACAGTGAGTTGTCACTCTTCCCCACCTCACGCTCGCCGCTGCCAGACCCGCTCGCCCGCATCCACGCTCTTCACGCCGCACCTCCTCATGGGCTGTGTGCGCGTGCAAGCACCGGCCCATTCGGCATTTGTCTCCCGAGCACCGTTCAAACCAGCCGAAAATCGTACAGTAGAAACGGTCGCACGTCTTCGTTCACACTGCTCGATTCTTGTACGATCGCGGAATTTCCCGCGATTCTCGTACGAGAATAGAGCAGTGTATGGGCACCTTAAGCCTGCACTTCCCACACATGGTGCTCTATAATGTATTGCTGGGATTTGTATTCCTCTATAGCTGATGGTACATTGTGCTGAATATTCATTTAATAAATGCTGCACATTAAAATGATTGATGGCAACTTCAAAATTGAGCTAATGCGTTAACATTATGAACTGGTTTAATTGCATGAACTCTGTTGGTTGAAATGTAATAATGGGCTTGCAGTGGGAGTGCCTGCTCTTTAACCCTTTCGCTGCCAAGCCCTCCGTAACATTTTTCAAATCAGCTGGCCAAGCCATTTTTGAATTTTCTGCAATTTTTTCCTATTGAAATGAACATGAATGCAGGGTACTAGGTCGACTTGAACGAGCTGGGGTATGCCAACGTGGTGGTGTTTATTAGTAGTACAAGAAACAGACAAGAGGTGAGACGGTGGAATGGAGTCTGCATAGCTGGAATGAATAGTTAACTTGTCCTCTTTATAATAGGCAACCATTCAGCACCAAGCTCGCTCTTGTGAAAGACTATAATTTCAATTAATCCAGTAATGGTACTTCCCAGACCCCACCCTAGGCGACCTGAGTCCACACCTCCTACTTAGTGAGTTTAGCAATTGTTTACAATATTTCTATTGTGATGGAGTGTGTTTATGAAGGACTCGGGTATATATAATATGAAAAAATATATTTATTTGATTTTAGATTCTTGTTGGTTTAAAAGATTCATGCAGTTCAATAAAATATTATTTACAACTTCTCTTGTGTTGATGTTCATGTGCAATTCACAAATACATGTATCTAATTCTAAGACTATTGCTAATTGGTATATTTGCAAAACCGTATTTCCCGGGGACTCATCAAATAGTAATATACCTGTATTAGAAAGCATTAATTATGTGTATATCCTTATCCACATGAATGAGTGATGTGGAGCACTTCCCGTTCATTCATAACTGGGGACTCAATAAGCATACTATGTCCTCAGTTAGGACCGGCATCCAGCAGGGAGGAGAGAAGCTAGGGATGCACTGAATTTTCGTTTGCATTTTCGACCATTATGGTATTATCGTCATTTTGTCCAAAGTACCATTTATGGCCGATATATTTCAGTGGCCACAATTTCAGCGCATCCCTAATTTCAATACAAATTAGTAAATTAAACATGAGATTATAGTCCAATAAGGGAGTGAGCTTGCCAATGTGGCTACTTTACAACACGCACAAGGACCATGGGGAAAAAAGTAGCCACCCTCCAGAAGGAAGGACAGTGTCAGCACCAATTCAGAGATGATTAGAGGATCTACTTAAATGCATTTTTAAGAATATAACTACTGAGGTTAGTGTTTCTTTAACTGTTTGGCTGAAAACTGCACTTTGAATATACTTCTACAATAAATAGGTTCTTAGGTATTAAGCTTACCTGAAAAATGACCCCTTCCAGTGTTTAACACATTAAAATAATAATTTTTTTGTTTGCTAAGAAAAATACAACAGACTCCCTGTTGGCCTTTCAATTCACATATAATAGCTTGAGTGCATGGCCATAATAGCACAGATACTGGAAATTCTAAGCAGCCTATTTCTTCTTGGCTTTTCTCCAGTGTATGACATTACTGTACTTTTGAAGATCTGTTCTTCAGAACAAAACATAATATACAGTTTTAAAGGTTTCCATGCCTAATGTACAATTTCCTCAGTTGTAACATCATGTGCTCTGCATTCATTAGGCCAATGGCAGTAATCTATCAAAAGGGATAGCAGAAAAAGCATTAGCAAAATTGAACCCAAGTGCCTTTTTTGGCTAAGTAATTGTTTCAATAAGAGAAGTACAGCTTTTACTGGGTTTTTTTGTGGCTACCAATTAAAAATCAGAAATGTGCACATGATAGTAATATATTGGGTGGCTGGCAATTTTCCATTTTTCATTGGTAAGCAGTTGCCTATTTCTTAGTACTAATGATTGGGGATGCACTGATATATCGCCCGCCGAAACATAACGGCTGA